GAGTAGTGAGATTATCAGAACATAAGAATTTAGCTAAGGTAAGAATGGTTAACCCCGAGAAGATACGTAATTTAGAAAAAAGCTCAGCAATTGCACTGCATGCATTAACACACAGCCACACAATCGGGTGGGACACAGTCAAAATTCTGAAAAGTAATATAGATAGGTGGAGAGCATGAGAGATTGGTTACTGAATCCTTGATCATCAAATCTACACCCATCACATGCAACAGAAGTGACTCAACGCAAAGACCAGAGATACGGAAGATATTAATACCAATCAAATCAGAGGATAATAAATAATCTCAAAAGTTATTTCAGTTCACATTATAACAAGTTACTTATTTTTACTGTAAAAACATCTTATTTCTTATCTTATTGCATTTTATTGATACTACTAAAATTATCTCTGAATGTACTTTATCTTACATTGATTTATTTTAATGTCTAATCAATCTTTACTCATGTATATAAATGAAGCAAGAAAGTCGTGTGAGTGCCTTGATATGATTATGAGCAGCGATAATTTGTGATGGAAACGTCATCAGTTAATATTACTGTTTGGCGCTACGTCATTTTATCAAAATGAAATCTTATCCATAATGGAGTTATACGCTACCACAATGCCCAAGTTTTATCATTATGCCTCTATTGATCATTTTTATTGACTTGGAATGCAAACTTTCTTGTTATGTGATTTACTTTTTATTAGTTAGTGAATTCAGTCTACAGTAATGTGTTTGCTAATCGCTGATTGATTCACTTGAGTACCAGGCTTCTAGAAATTCCCTGACTGCATTTTTGGTGTTTCCTCTATTTAAGATTTCTGCATTATCCCAGTCAAATTGTGTGTGTCCATAATTATCTGCATGCATTGATATGAAAGAATACATATCATATCTTTTAACAGCCAATTTGTGTTCTTGGATTCTGATTTGAAGAGGAGAGAGGAAACCCACTTAGACCGATTTAGTGTTTATTGCAGTTCATACAATTTATTTTGTAAATGGTGTTGACTTTATCTTCTTTTTCTGTCGGATTGGTGTTTTGGTTTTCACAATATCAGAAGAAGTGACTGTGTTGACTGGCTTGTGTGCTATGTCTATTTCAAACGGTCTTAATATTCTAGCTGTTATTTCGGAGATATTTTTTATATATGGTAGGATGAATTTTCTTGTGACCTTAGATGTTGGCTTGTTGTTGATGTTATGACTCGAGTTTAAACACTTTTTGATGAAATTGTGAGGATATGCATTCTTTTTGAAGATGGTTAGTAGGTATTTTTCCTCCAATCTCTTCAACACCGGAGTAGTGCTACAGTGTGTTTGAACTCTTTTAAACAATGTCTGCACAGAGTTTCTTTTGTGGGTAATCGGGTTACTACTACTATAGTTGAGTATTTGATCTGTGTGCATTGATTTTCTATACACTTGTGCTTCTAAACTTCCTGTGTTAGTTCTCTTGATTAAGATATTTGAGAATGGAATTTTGTTGTCTAATTCTTCTTCTCTTGTGAATTTGAAGTCTTCAAATATGTTGTTTATTAATTTGTGGGTATATTCCAAACCATTTCTTTTAACTATCATAAATGCACCCAGATTTTCGGTTTAATTATAGGTACGGTTATTAATTCTAATCTTTGCATGACAGCATTAGCTTTCAATCCTGATATGGGTGATCCCATTGGTATTCTTTTAATCATTTATCGAGAATTTAAATTAGTCCATTTTATATTAGGACTCGCGCTAAAGATGATGTCTAGAAGGACTACGAAAGTTTCGCACTTAAATCAATTAGCTCAGAGGACATGTAATTTTCAATTCCTTTGAAGGCATATTCTTCGTTGGTGGACGGTACCTATAATTATTATAGCGCCACTATGAACGCTACGCACAAATTGAGACGTAAATTTCATCCTGACTTCGTTTTCAATCACTGTTTGGATAACGGTTTGAAAGCGCTGTTAGGATTAGTATTAGGGTTAGGATCGAGGTCTGGGTTGGGATTAGGGTTAGTCTAAGATTTACGACTGCTGTTGGGACTATGGTTAGGGTGTTTTGTTATAATCATATGTATTTTTCTATTAAGTAGTTTTAGGGTATCCATAATTATTATCTGTATTTTTCTAGAAGGTAAAAATCATTTTTATTTCAAAAAACACCAGTTTTTCTGATTGGTGGCCTCAAGGTCAGTCGTGCGTCCGCATTGCTAAGCACCACCTTTATCCGATGGGTATTAGGAAGTTTTAATAAATAGGCCGAAATGTACCAGAGTGATTTCACGGAAATTCAATAATACACGTTTAACTTTTGAACTTTATTTTTTTACTCCTTTACGTTCCCAGTGGAACATATGGCTTCAGGTTAGAGCTTCGAAGTTTCAACAGCAGTGGTGTTTTTTATGGGACGGGGTTGCTAGTCTCATGCCCAACCTTCCTGCTTTACATGGATCACTACCGGCCTGGTGAGGTAAAGGAGTGGACTGACCAGGGATCGAACCCTGAACCACTTGCGTGATTGACCAGTGTTCTACCACTGAATCATTGACACACTTAACTTTTGAACTTATTGCCTCCCTTAATCCATTATATAGTGCAGTTATCAGTATCAAGCAACATTCTCTGTTAAAAGTGCAGCAAATGTAACGCAGTTTACGAATATAATGCCGTCGATAATATATACGTCCGCAAATATATTTTCAATGCAAAATGTCATTTTAAAAACATATAAGAGATATAACTTCTTATTAAACTACCATAGCAACGAACTACGAGGCTACAATTAGCTGTGTTGTGCAATAAATCCACTCATTGGATCATTATTCTATAACTTCTCTCGAATAAATTACTATTATGAAAAACCTAATTAATACCGGATATGTGAACAGAAAAAATAAAAGCTACTTGTTAAGGATAAAATGTCGCTTCAGGCCACTTCAGTGTGTGTTTATAAATTCACCTGCTCCTGTGGTGCTAGTTATATTGGCCACACAAAGCGCACACTTTCCATACGCATCCCTGAACATTATCCGGCATGATTAGCGAAAGTACAATGCAAGACAGTTACTAACTTAATTCTCGAGCATTTCGTTATCTGAAGCCACGTAGCTTTACCAGAGTCGTCTTTCAAGATTATCCAAATGGTACAAAGGGCGTCAGGTTTTGGCATTTGTGTGTGGCAGAGGCGTTGGCAATTCGTTAATACAACCCCGAACTCTGTATGCAGATAAAGTTTGCCCAGTCTCTTAATCTACCATGTTCTTAACCTCTTCATTAGTCGTACCCTGTAAATTTTTGATTTCTATTTTTAATGATTAGTTTGCTTTTAATTTAATAATTAATTCACTACTACAACTCTCACATGTTCCTTTTGTACATTTTCTCACTCTTTTCACACTGGTTAAATGGACACTCAACTACCTTTCTTCTCATTCAATAACAATTCTAACCTTATCAAATTTCTAACCCTTTCTTCCTTTATGCTGCTGAGTATTACGTAATTTGTAACTCGTATTTTTACTTTCAAAGCCACTTCTAAGTAGTTACATCAATTATATCAACCTTATTACTAAATAATGGACTATTATACGTGTTTTTGGTAAATATAAATACGACTGTACAGCCTCTGAAGATGATTTCGTCAGTAAAGAAACTTTTCTTCGCTGAATTGTCTCTTATTTTCTCCATGACTCATGGGGTATTTTCGGTAATTATTTTTAATGAACTTATCACTGCTAAACTGGTAAAATGTTTTGTGTCGTATTAAAAATGCTATAAATGTTAGAGTAGAGCCATAGGTGAAGATATAATTGAAAATTAAATATTTCCTCACCCAATCCTTTTATTTTTTTATTTTTGATTATTTTTGATTACAGCTTGATTCCACACCGTATTTTTAGAACAAGTGTGGAATTTTCAGCATGGATATCGGTAGCTCAAATTTCGCAGGCCGACCATAGATATCGGGTGTGCTTCGGCAGGGGATCGAACCCCGGACCATGTGCATGGTCGGCGAGAGTCCTAACCACTATGTCTTCTAAATGTCTACATACAGACTTTTTCTATATTCTACTAACCATAGAAATTAGTTCTAAATTTTGTTAAATGATGACTAAAATTCAGTATATTACTCAGCTTCATTTGGTTGCTTATATCTTTCAGAGGTGATAATTATCTAACTCCATGTCATATTCTAATTTCATTGAAATCCACAGATTAAAGTAATAATCCGTAGCAATGAAACATTTAATAGTTGATTTAAATCCTTCACTGATCAGTTGTACACTCAATAAATCCCCTGGGAACTTTATTTTCCCTGATTTTAGACATAAATGTCAAAAAGAAGCTACTGAGTTACATGTATACGGGAAGACTAATAGAGTACTGTTAGAAACCGATGTTGTCAAGTACATAAGTGGATTTAGTTGATTGTAGGATTATTCCCTTCGTTATTTTACAAAGTGGCTTGAAGACGATCAGTTACTAAAATTACTTTCAAAATTTAGAAACTTTTCTTCATCATAAAACAGGTTCCTGACCTAAAATTCAAGATCATCGAAAAGAAAGAAAAAGAGTTAATAATCCTTACTGTAAGGCTTTGACATGGAGTTATGAAAAGCATCATTTTAGTTACTGGACTTCATTATCAGTTGACATCGGTTAGAGAACGATTGGAAAACCTGGGAGTACTGGACAGCCGTTTCGTCCTAGTTTGGGAATCTTCAGCAGTACATACCCACTGGGGTTAGGTTCGAACCCAGGACCTTCTGGTTCCAAGGCGACTTCGTAGACCATTAAGCCACTGGCAACCCGTTCCATTGTCCAGTCCAAGAATTCCAGCTTCTGCCAGCTAATGACTTAGTGCGACCACTAAACAATGTCTTCAGCGAGTGATCAATCAATCAAATCCCTACAAACTAATACTTGAGAATCATTTTACATTACTAGTGTCTTTTCAATTAAATTTACCAACAAGCAAAAGTAAATCTGTACATTAACTTACATCCTTCCACTTTGCACAAACATTAGAAAATTGGACAAAAGGTTCAACTGATTCGATTACTTCCGGTGGTATATCGGCTCCAAGTTCAGGTAGGAACAGAAAATCCTAAAATAAGCAAGATAAGTACGATCATGACTTTATAATTTTTTAATTACTGTGTAAATGTATGCTGCTATAAAAAAGTATTAAGTTATTGATCTTTTTACTATGTAATAGGTTTTTCATTCAATAACTACCTTAAAAATGTCTTTTTGTTCTCATTTACCGTATAGAAAACTCAGAAGTCCCAGTTTTCAATAAATTTCTTTATATTTCCAGTAAAACATCATACAACAATCCGGAGACATTCTAGACGTTTGAACTGAAGTAATTTCATATTATTCCAAAATAATGAATGACTAAACTGGTAGAATCATAGTAAAACAGCTTTGTTAAACAATATTATACGATTCCTACAAAAATCCATATTTGCTAACTGACCAGAACTTTACTCACTTCTGTATTTAATTTATTACAACTAAGACTTTTAAGGCGGTAGCCCGGGTATAACAGACAAAAAATAAAGAACTAATGCTTGTGTAAAGTGACATCCACAGAGAGCATATTATTCCCTTTTAACAAACTTTTAATCTAACATAATGCTGTTGTCCGCGCCAAGTAAAATGCTAAGTCACGTCATCCTGTAGAGAATAAAAGATGAACTGGATGCAAAACTCCGACAGACCGGAACAAGCTGGATTCAGGGGAGGCAAATCACGCGCTGATAAAATTGCAACTTTACGCATTGTCATCATCGAACGAAGTATACAATGGCAGTTAAACCTCTATCTTAACTTCATCGATTTCCAAAAGACCTTCGACAGCATTGACCAAGAAGTAATCTGGAAACTGCTTCAATACTAAAAAGTGTGGTTCCCAAATCTTTATCAATCTCATTCAGCAGCTGGCTATATGACAATTCCACGTGTCAGGTGATCCACCATGCAAAACTAAGCGAGGCGTTCGAAGTGCATACAGGAGTAAGACAAGCTGGCTGCATATTATCACCGATAATATTCTTAATTGTGGTGGAATGGATTATGCGTCAGACTGTGCGTTGGGAGTGAGAAGACAGGAATACGCTGGACAGATAATAAGACTGTAGAAGCTCTGGATTTCGCACATGGATGATTTATATCTAATGTCACACAAACTCGACGACTTACAGGCGAAAACCAACAGACTAGCTAAAGAAGCTGGCAGAGAAGTTAGGACTCCAGGTGAACATATAGAAGACGGAGGTGATGAAGATAACCAACCAAGAATAACCAGAGCCAATCACCATCAACAGGAGAGATTTAACAGAGGTTACCTCCTTCACTTACCCAAGGAAGCATCGTTTCAACTACAAAAGTCGGTTCCGATGAAGATATCAAAGCCATTCAGAATCGGAAAGGAAAGTTACGCCTTCATCAACCTGAAAGCAGTTTGGAAATCTTCTTCACTCCACAACATCAAGAACAAGATTCGGATTTTCAACACAAATGTCAGTGAAGTCAGTCAGTTCTTCTATACGGGTCAGAAAATTGGCCAGCGCGTCACGGAAAGGATTTCCAACAAGTTACGGACTTTTATCAACAGCTGCCTTCGCTGCAAACTGTAGAGTAAATGACAGGTAAGAAAGAATCAACTGCAAGAAACTCTGGCTGAGAACAAACCAACCAAGAGCCGATGTCCAACAAATATGTAGGAGAAAATGTAGATGGATCAAGCACACGTTGAGGAGGTCGTCTGATGACATCGCGCCTAATGCAGACCATCGTCCGAGTGGAATCCCAATGGGGAGCGACGAATGGGTCGTCCTAGGGTGACATGGAGGAGATCGTGCAAGCAGGAGGAGGAGATGCGAGATTATGGTCAATCGTGGACCCAGATGAAGAGGATAGCAGAGAATAGAAGAAAGTGGAGATGTGTTGTTGAAGCCTTATGTTACACTCGAAACCCAAGGGAATAATAATAATATAATCTCTTTACTGAAGTTTGCTTCTCAACAAGTTGTAAAATATTAAATTAACTAAAAAACTCATATCATAAAAATCCATAGGAAGAATAACTGAAAACATTTATTCTCACAAACTATGTTTAATGGGGAATTTGAATGATATCCAATGAACAGAATTAAAGAATAATTTACCATCACTGAAATAGAAATAAACACATTCGATACTCTAAAAGGTTTGCTATGATACACAAAAGCAATAAAAGATGAAGTCTAAACTTGCAACAACAAAAAGAAATTATAAGAAGGTCTGTTTACTTTTTGCTTCGCGTTCTAATGATTTAAAGTATTATCCTCAATAACAAACATTAAATTACATAAGCAAAGCAGCTGTTTTAAATTCCGTTTTCCACCGGTATATTAAATCAAATTTTTAGGTTTATCGGTCTTAAGTAGTTGAATAATGAACCTATCTATAACCCGCTTGCATGCAAAAGTTTGAATACTATCACAGAGTCACCAAGGTAAAACTCCTTTGGAAGAGAAGCTGAAATGATGTCCACAACTGAATGAAAGTGTTATCAGCATAACTTAAAAATGATTTACGGTAGCAGGAATAATGTGATAATACAGACTGCACTAAAGTAATGAGTGAAACAGACGTAACAAAGTGATGGAATAAGCCTTAGTTGCGGAAAGAAAAAGTGGAATTAGAGTTTGAGTTTAAAATTTACCGTTTAAAGAGTGAAATAAACTTCCTAAAGTAAGTAGAAAAGATGAAATTAGATGAAACTTTCCTTCGACAAAATCCCCAGGTTAATGTTTGAAAACAACAAATCGGCAGTGTTATCTATGCTAACAAAATTATCAGTATATACACGACACCAAAGAATCATAGTTTAAGGGTTATTTCCCAAATCCTCATTGCTGCAATGACTGATTACCAACTTTTTGCGTGACCACTATTCTCATTTTTACGTCCTTGAAGATTTTTGTTGATTTTTCTAACTATCCGTTCGTTTATGCAGTAACTTACAATTAGTGCTCACCATTAGTCTTGTGTGTCGGTGGCACAGCGGTAAGGTGCTCACCGACCATGCAGGTGGTCCAGGGTTCGATCCCCGACTGATGCACTCCTTTATCTCGCTAAGCCAGTAGTAAGACTGGTAAACAGGAAAGGTTGAGCACAAGGCTAACAATCCCATCCTGTAAAAATAATCACCACTGCTACAGAAACTGCAAGCCTGTAGCTTGAAGTCCAATGTTTCACTGGGAGTGTAAAGGAATAAAAAAAATTTGTCTCTCCAATAAGTTTAACTATTTAAATAATTAAATGATATTCCTAAATTAAGAACCCAATAATTTTTACTAAAACAGTCAGTGAAATAAACCAAATCGTATATAACATGCGAAGTTAGCATAACTGAATGTATTTAACAACTTACAGTAACACGTTTGGATGCTACATTCACTTCGAATATATTGTGTAAACATATTGGTAGAAGTAATGTGACGGATATGAACAGTGAACCAAGAAAATTAAGCACAGTATAGACATATGAACTTTTCAAAATTATTAAGTACTCTGAATCAGTATTCAGCAAAACCAATGCTAATATAAACACTGTCATACTCGATTTTGTTTGACACATGACTTGAGTGAAACGAAGAAGTTGACAAAAACGAGATTTCAGAATCAGTTGAGTTTCTTTTCTGAAGAATATTTTATAAAAAATAAGTTAAAGAAACAATCTTGGAACTGATCTGTGTTCAATTAAAAAGTAAAAAAAAGAGAATATAAATTGTTTTTACGAGTTGATCACGGATTGATATCAGTTAGGGAACCATTGAAAACCAGGAAGTACTGGACATCTGTTTCATCCTAGTTTGGGAATCATCAGCAGTACGCACCAACTGGGGTTCGAACCCAGGACCTTCCGGTTACAAGGCAAGCTGGTATACCATGCCAATGATTTCCAAACTAGGATGAAATAGCTGTCCAGTACTCCCTGGTTTTCGATGGTTCCCTAACCGATATCAATCCGTGATCAACTCGTAAAAACAAAACTAATCCTTACAAACCAACTATAGAGAATATAAATTATAAATTTTCAATCATTCTGTTCATAACTTGATGGCTATAATCACTTTAAAATGTCAAAATACAGTTACAATTTTTTTTTTTTTGCCAATAATTATTAATAAAACGATAAAAACATTTCTTAAGCGGTTAAGTTGTGATGTTTACTGAAACTCTCCGTCTTTCTGATTACTTTTAACATCATGATAGAAAATTTTTTGAAGCTTTTGTTTGCTTACTTCTTTTATTCGCTGAAGACATCATAACTTACCGTCATGATACCTTTAATAAATTTACTTTCCAGAAGAAATAAGCATCAGTGAGATTAGATGCAGAGTATTAGTAGTTCTTTTGACCAATTTTGTAGCTTTATCATGTAAGTTTGCTTTATTGTGAATCACCTAACAAAAAGCAGCATACTTCCATTATAAGAGGGTAATAGGGACTACCATAACTTAAACCCTCTTGTTGAACTAATGCAATAATTCATCATAATGAAACCTTCCTTGGATAAAAGTTGAAACAAGATAACACATAGATAGCCAAATTTGTATTTTTTTCTTGATGTAAGCCAGGAAATACTCTCTCAAAAGCTGACCAAATGTCTCTAATTATTGCAGTGAAATAAAAAGGTTATTTATAACATGAGTAAACAGACGTAATAGTATCTGTAAACTTAATTTCTCTACACCTTTCTCTGCGTTAACTTGAAGCTTCATAAGCTTTCCTGATGGCTGTCTTGGCTTGAATCACCTTTATTTCTTGCTTTCTAAAGTAGCAGCACATCAATATTTTACATTTTCAACTTTCCTGTTCTCTACCCCCACCCGATTTAATTTATACATCTGATTACCACTGTTACTGACTTGACCAACGCTCAATTTCCAGTCATTTATGTTATGTCATCCGATTTATTTGCTCAGTTTTAGTCCTAATTTAAATGGCATTATTCTCTACCGCACCTCTACTTAGTCTCTACCTGTAATTACCTCTGTTGCCATCCTGACATAAGTTGAAGCATTTTAGTCAATTATAATACGTCATCTAACTTACTAACTCAATCTTACTTTAGTTGCTGTCTAATTAACCTTGTTTCTATATTAGATCATTCTTGTATTACCTGATCAATTATCTAAATTTGGCAAACCTCATATACACACACAAAAAAATAATTATATATAAATGCGTTTGTACAGCTACCTGAATGAATTCGCCAAAAAGAGTCTCTTCGCTGAACGTCTTCTCTTTTTCACATGACCCAATGGGGATTTTTAATATAAGAATAGAACTTGTGCACTGTGGTAGAGTATAATTCTATTATGGGTGAAATTTATGTTGATAAAGTCTCAGAGTGTTATACAGTATTATTTACTGATGACGTTTCGAGCACAATTTATTGCTGCTGGTATTCACATCAAGGGGATTTTTAAGCTACATGCATTAAATGTATTGGCTAGCAATAGCCGTCCCATTACTAGGTTATTCAAATAATAATAAAGAGCGAAATTAAGCTAAAATTTGAAGACAATAAACAGAATATGTTCGAGTAGCTCAGCAGCAGGCTGAGTAACATTCAACTTAATAAACAGTATAAATAAAAGGAACATATTACTCCTGAAGTACTATGCCTTTTATTTAATACTTACGGTAACTAACTTTCTTTAAATAATTGACTTCGGTTTATGTTATATTAATTCCATTTTCAGGCCAGTTTATAATTTTACTTGATAAAGTATATTTATTATCAACCTAGTTTGATTTGATCCATCAACGAATTAACTATCTTACTTTTTTCTTCCGACTGAGAACTGTCTAGCTGCGTTATCCTTTTTGAAAACGAATATATCCTCTCCGTCAGAAACTGTTTTGTCAGTACAGTCTTAAAAGAGAAAAGATTTTTTCTGATCTATTCACCTGATTTCTTTTTCGTATTAGTCCACCTGGCAGCTTTAGCTGTAGTTACTAGAAGTACAGATTGGTGGATTAGTTGATATGCAATAATGATAATTTTGAAAAATGCTTTAAAAAACTCATTTATGAGATATATACCTTCGAAAATCACCGACGAGTTTGAAAAAAGCATCTTCCCATGTCTGAAACTTTATCGTTCTCATTCCTTTGATTATGTCAGACAGTAGCCGAATGCGACTGGCCGTTACGCTTGCGACTGAGAGTCTTGAAGGAAAAGAAAAGTATTAGTTAACACCAAAAATTACTTTTATGTTGTGTTATAAACCGAATATCTGAAGTGAAACATTGATTTAGTCAGCTTGGACAAATCAACTTATTCTCCAAGAAGGATTAAATTGTTAATTGAGCTAGAGTTTTGGCTAAAACGTATTTTGGTTCATCTTGATTAGATCATCTGAAAGCATGCTAACTTTGTCTGAACACAATGAAAGACCATATTGACAAACTGAAACTTTCGGTGGCACAACTTGTGTCACTTTTGGCTCTAAGTCACTCGTTTTATGTGGTCCCCCCATGTTTCTCATATACGGACCTTTAGTGTACTTCATGCTCTTATTTTTATTCGGAATAATGACTACGTAAATCTCATGACACTCAATAAAAAGCAAAAGCAACACTAGCCGAACATTAATTCAACGAAGAGTAAGTTTGCAGATATTTTAGCAGTAAGAAAATATATCGACTTAGTAACCAATGCTTCTTAAGAAACTACCTTTTAATTTGGCAAAAAGCATGATATCAGATTGAGCCGGAGTTCCTGTTTAGTACCAAAGAACGAACAGTAATTATTTACACTTTTTATCCATCCGCCTATAGTTAAGCAAAATCTTTCGATGGTCACCATGACTGCTCCTTTGTCTATTTTAAAACAAGAGCTTGTTCAAATACCAGTAGACTCATGGTTTACTACCTTTTACATGCTATTATATCAGTGAAATGGAATAGATCCTCATGGAACTCAAAGAGGAATTCACTGAAGCGGTAACTAAAAATGTATCTGACCATGACTGTGACTATAAGGGCGAATTAGTGTAAAAGTGAATTCTGTTTCCCTGTTAAGTAGCTGTCGATTATGATCATTTTCTCACAAGAGAGGATTTGAATATCCAAGAAATACTGGGAGTTTCAGTACCACATGTAACAAGCTCGCAGTGAAGACGACATCACGGTTATGTATCTTTATTACCTTACTATTCCAATGTTTAATCAAGATCTCATGTGGAACTTTGAAGGCTATGTCCCGTGAAAGACTTCAGCAATCAATGATGAGTAGAAAAATTGATCATTTAAATTAATAAAACGTTTATATGAGCTATTTATACTCTGAAAATCTTGTAAATACAGTCTGTAAATTGTATATACTAAGTTAATATCTCCCTCTCCAAGACTCATGAATTTCGGTAATATGATATCCATCAATTAGTTACCTTTCCTTAAGGTTTTCCTCTGGTTATAAAATAACTGTATTTACACATGTAAACTCAACAAAACATACCTCAACTTGGAATACAGTTTGTTTGCAATAAATCCCAAAGGGATATTGAGAATCGTAACAATGAGTGCACATATACTAGGTATTAATGCAATCCGACTCATTAGCCAAAATATAACAATAAACTGGATTGGTGCAAGCCAAACGTAATTCAAAAGTTCAAAAGCCTACAAAATTCGGGGTTAATTTCAGAAGTAAAAAGCCAAACTTCATAAAAATTCTGGTTTTAAATAGAAGTGTTTTAGGTGAACCTCATCATTTTTAATTAAGATAAAACATAAAAGTTGTATTAATCTACACTTCGCACCTGTTGTAATATCAAAGAATGGCCTTTCTTAAAAAAATTCACATGAACTGCATACCAAAGACTACGGACAGTGTATATATCGAACCGTAAATTATGTTTTAACTGAATCATTGTGCTTGTTATATTTTAGCGTATAACGTTTATCCTTTTTGTTACAATATCAAATGAAGTGTTTATTTGTAGTGGCATTTATTTTATGTATTTATCTATCATAAAATAACTTGTGGATCCTAGAGAAGCCAAAACAACATGCGTGTAAGCGCTCGACATCATTTAAATGCCAAACTACCATATGCATTAAATATTCAAATAAATCTAGTTTGATAAGTGATGTTACTTAACTTGGCGTCGAAACTTTCGGAAACACGGTGTGATCAGTTTTTACGTTTAAACTGGAAAAATGGGCCAGCTGATAACTTAACTTAGGTCTAGAAAACAATAACGCTGAAATAGTGATCTCCCATACATACACTTATTTTTATTCTACAGGAATAAATGAAAAATAGCTGGCTCAAATTAGTGGATTTTGAATATTCAACGTCGAAGGAAATAAAGTGTACAGAACCCAATAAATGTATCAGAAAACCACGACAGTTGCCATTCACAAGACAAACCGCATCTATCGACAACCTTAAGGCTCTCTGTGCTTTTAAAAACTTACAAGTTGGATTGATTATGTAGATACTATTGTAACAACAACTTTAGGGTATTTTCAATTATATATGCTTACACAAGTCTGAGAAGTAAGCTCTGGAACATTTTCAGCAATTAGAGTGCACCTTCACTTCTTCCCAATTCTAAAAGTCTTTAATTGTCGTGGCCAAAAGTACAGATATTTATTCAGTTTACGAGCTCGTTTCCAGTCTTAATTTGCCAGTCAAAAGCATCCTTATGCTTGTTTGCAAACTGCAAGTATACATTTTGAGTCTAGTTAAACTGTTTCGCCTTTTTAATCACAAAATAATGTAGTATTATTTACTCTTGACGCTTCGAATCAGTTTGCTACTGATGACCATAACAAGGGTTATTATTTAGATTAAACTGTTTGTACAAGAATGGTGTATTTCACCTGCCTAAATGGGTTAACGCCGTGTATACGTTTTTGTTCGCATGGGTAGTTAAAACAAATCAGTTTTAAAATCTATGTACCTTCTGGTATATTTACATATGCATTTCAGTTTTAAGTTCTTAAACAATTTTATCTTGGTTCAGGATATCTTATGTCGCCAAATACATTTGTTTTTGGGGTTGCTTGTCAACAAAAGTGAGATAAATGACTCGCCCAAGACATTAAAAGTAAAAAGTTGGAGCTGCTGTTACAACACTTTAGTTTATTGGTATTTTATTAGACAGAAAACTAGTGATCAGTTTATTAAAACCATTAGAATACAATGGTAGAAGAATAAGGCTCTCAGCTTTCTGCGGGGAAAACTGACAGTGAAGCTGATGGTATCTCGTTTTTTTAGTTAACTATCACAACTTAGAGGATCTTGATTACCTTTCTTCAAGAAAGTCAAGTTTATTTAAAAGGTTTAAAGTCTGTAAAGGTTTAAAACCTTCAAAATTATTATGAACGAACACTTGTATAGATGATGTTGAGTCAGGATGCAAAATTGGATCTATCCATGAACTTTTGAGCAATATAAACGGGGCAACTGTGTAAGTTATTTAAAAAACCGCAGAATTTCAAATTTAAGGAGCATGAAAATGTGTTATCTGCAGTGATATTAAAATAGAGTTCCTGCTGAAGTCCTTACTATCAGCTGTCGTGTAGTTTTGAAATGCGTGAATATAGAAATTATCTCACATATAATCAAGCTTGTTCTTTTTAAATGTACAATAACTGACTAGATACCTTGCTGCAAGTCTGTTTGTTTGTTTGTATGCATATAAAGTTTCAATCAAAACCAGTGTATTCCATGGGTTTAACACTAATGATATTCGGATGTAGCAGTTAAATATCTCGCAAATCATTAATGTTGTTGATTTCACCGGGTGGATATACTGCAATAAATAGCTAAACTGTTGGTATCACTTTCATAATTTATTGGCAAAATCGCAATATTTGAATTGAAATTTACATCTCTAATCTATGGAATTTAATATCAAACTAAATTCATTGTGGCATACAAAACATTTACCATAAATAGACTTCGAGATTCGTATTTAATAATGCTACACACGCTTTCAAAACCTCAAATAAACTTTTGGTGTAAATGGCATATAGAAAGAAGCATAGAAAAGAAATACAAGTTTTCCAACAATCCCCTAAAGTAAAAGCATAAATAAAGAATAATGTAAAAAGCACAACACAATATTACATTTATGCCCAACTTTCAGAGGGAAGTGGCCAACAACTTTTGACGAGGCACATGTTTGAAATTTCTTACCATATCGAATCTTTGTATATCAGCAGTTAGCAGAGTGATAATATCTCCACTTGTTGTTTCAGCTAGAGACTTTTGAGTGAAAGCAAGCATCTACAAACTATGGGTTGAGTAAGGCGATGTAAAACCTTTTTGAATATCAGGCCAGCAATTGCAACGCGTAGACGCATTCCAATTCTGTTGGTTATCCAAAAGGAAGCTTGGTATGAAATGGCTCCAAAAGTAATACACAGAGCTAGATTTAAACCAGAAACAAAGGCTTTGTACACCACATTGTTGACTTTCATACTCTCGATATCCAAAAGTAGCTGCTGCAAAAGTATCGGGCGTAACGTACATGCTGTTATCTAGAGGAAGAAAAACTTATAAAACGGTAAATGTCACAAACGTCTACGAACAAAAGAGCACCTGCAAGGAAAATGTGGAACCAAAAACACCGGATAGCTGCGAACCAAATGCTTGGCTTCCGTTTTGACAATTCCTTAATCCATTCTCTGAAATTTACAAAAAATATCAATATACAAACTTTTCTAAATCTTCTGTGACATGTGAAGCTGCTTCCGAAGCTGGTCTGATGTATATTTCTTTAGAATTCAAAGGGCCACGTTTAGCAGCCTTAAACAGTGGATTTAACCAAGTCAGAAAGAGTTTAGATATGATATTTGCTTTTCTATATGGTGATTCTATCATTTATTAAACTAAAGTGACCTCGAAAACATAATAAAATTTTGAATCTGAGTCAAAAGAGTTCACAGTGCATCATGTTCAATAATCAATTCATATATAGAAAGCTTTCAGAAATCTCTTGATTCGCTGGTATTCCCTGCTTGATGTGTCAGAATATTTAAAGCCTTCTAGGAAATTTCAGAGCATCCATCCGGTCGACTAATACAACACAAGTGTACTTAGAGAATAGGCATAAACTTATTTCATTCAGTGCATTGGAGGTGTTACTACTTTTAACCATCATTTAGTACGAGATTCCCCTGAATAGATCATACACACCGTAGCGGTAGACAGTTCCCCAAAATTATTAGGCACAGCATTCATCACTGAACATTGGGTGCCGACTATCACTGTTCAAGTCGACTTGTTAAGCTGAAAGCTCACGGTCAAGCATCCACGCCATTTGGCACGCCGTTGTCTTAGGCTCGTCCGTTCGTGCATGATCATTGACTGGTCACGCAATCAACTTTGCACTCTAATTCGGTCCCGAAATATACTTCGTAATTTGGACGACCAATTTTGGTGTTTTGCTTTGCCCTCGGTCTACGAGAAATGAATACTATAGAAGTTGTGAGTGTTATATCTTGAGTTGTATACATCGTATTATCCATGAACGGCAACACGCTCAGCCTCTTAACATCTTATAATATACAATATGAGGGCAGTGTGGAGGAAATCAACAGAATGAATAGATAAAACTAGTAGAATGTTTAGCAATCGAAGACACATAACCAGATAACGTAAAGAAGAAAAAAGAACAAACGAAAATGAGGGGAGAGTCAAATACAAAGATAGAATAGTTCGTTAGCTAAGCATTTCATGGAATGGGGTATCTGTAGAGCCAGTAAATTCCCCGGAACTCGACCGCTACCACTACATTATAATAGAACCAAGGCACTGCCATAGAGAGCATTCAATCTTATCCCAAAGATGTGCCGCAAATATGTAGATAACGCTTACACAGTGTTAAATGCAGAAATTTTCTCTAGTTTCTTCAAAAATATGAACTCACTATAGGAGGGAAGAAAATTCATATTTGAATCATTAAATAAACAAAGAGAACTAGCCATGTTAAGTTTTAAGATAAATAGAAGGCAATTAAATCACTGGCGTTTATAAAAAAATAACTCATTTCAATAGATATCAGGACTTTAACTCATCTCATCCATTATCTTTGAAAGTGGCACAGTGATTAGGACTCTCGCCGACCATGCACATGGTCCGGGGTTCGATCCCCTGCCGGCACACACCCGATATCTATGGTCGGCCTGTAAATTTGGGCTACCGATATCCATGCTGAAAATTCCATACCTGTACTGAAAATACTGTGTGGAATCAAGCTGTAAATCAAAATAATAAAAAATCAAAATAAAAAAATAACTAAATAACACCAAATAGTACATCGAAAAACCTAAATGACGAAATGATACGGGTGAAAGCATTAATGCTAGGTAACTACCCCATGAAATTCACAAAAAATATTACAAAAGCTGGCAAGAAAAGAAAAATAATAGTGAAACCAGTAAATATTACCTAAATAAGAGAGAATTTAAGGCATCTGCAGTTTTAACACACAATGAGAGAATATCCGAAACAATACGTAGTATTGTTCATAAAGCTTCAATTAAGGTGGCATTTAGATTGTCAACCTATCTCAGGGACAATTTCTTTTGAAGTACCCTACTGACCCATTTCGACAAAATAATACAATCTAAAAAATACTTGCCAGTGTCCCTGAGGTCAACTACACAGGTCGCACTAGTAGGTCGGGATGGTCAGATTATCGGAGTATGAGAATTTAGTCAAGTGTAAAATGGTTTACCCTACGAAGATAAGTGACTGGGAAAAAACTTATCAGTTGCGATGCACGTATCAACAAATAATAAGGCGGGGCAGAGTCACAATTTCAAAAGCAGTATAGGTGGACAGAGACGTTAATTCTGCGGTTTTGTTCATCAAATCTATACCTAACACACAGATAAAAGTAATATGTGAAGAGAGCTTGGTCGCCGTCTAGCTACTTTCATCATAACGTCTGAAACATCGAATCTCTTATGATTCTGATTTTCCGGTGATAATTTTAACTGCATTGCTACCTAGCGTTATTCAGAATATTAGAATAAATTTATTTATACTTACATACCTTTAAATTACACCAGATTGTAGTTTTCAAGAGCTCTATTATTTTGTATAATAATTCTCCATATTTACCGTTCACTGCACATGAATTCTCTTTCTATAGTCTGCAGAAATTCCGATTCTCGTTATTTTGCCCCAGTAAATCACGCTAACTACATAGTGGAAAGAAACAATAGTTGTGTTGGTACTCAAGTGACCATATTGCAGGTCGAGTTAAACTTTTGGTGGATCGTCATTATGCCTTTGTTTATGAAAAGTTTAGTTAATTTTACTTGTGCTTGAATCCTCGTGCAAAACGTTCAGGTTGGCTTATAAATGCGCTGGAAGTACCCCAGACGTCGACTTTTTAATGCATAATAGTATTGTTTCCTGTTTAAATAAGGGCATCAAGTATTCTTTTTAGGTAACAATGCTGCTTCTGATTCCTTTCCTATGATAAGTTGTTGAAGCGTGCTGACCTTATCATTCATCACGCCCTGGGTCACAAAGTCATGAAGTGGACTTCTTATTTTTTGAGTAGGAGTGCTGTATCTTCTCCATTTATTTTTTTATGACTCAACGCACCATCTAGATGTGATTTTGTTAATCATTCTGACAATCTGATAATCTCTGCTTGAATTCTTTTGACCTTACCTTACTCTCATATAAATGGTTTCCCCTTGAATTTATCAAATGGTCTCAATAAGTGGTCTGCCAGTAACTGACTCATGTGCCAAAATAGTTAACAAAATTATCGGCCGGCAACTTGTGTCAGATAGCTGTGTAGTTCAAATGTTTATTTCAAAAGCGTACTAGAGGGCATGTGAAGCGAAGAAACCTAGTCGGACGCGCAGTAGGGTATTTGTCATTCAATACCTTTCAGTAGACAAAAGGAACCTTAAAATCATGAAGTTGTAATTCCTACTTGGTCGTCCATCTCGTTTTTCTAGATTCCTTAACCGCTCACTACGTCTGACTTGTCTTATAGTCCTATGCTAAGAAGAACCTACATCAGTCTTTCCCTAGGAGCAACTTCCCGAGAATGTCGGTTACACTGACTATCTTTTGGAGCAACACCTAGAGTTCTTTATTGAGTGCATTCATTTTCGCTCGACAGTCTTGTACTTGGGCTTGACTACAGTTATGATTCTGGATCACGAAACGCCATTGTGAGTCTCCAAAACATGAAGATGCCCGATATAGGTATCGCACTTTTACGGAACAGGCCAAGTTTGTTTACCTAGCATTTTAGGAGATTAAGTAGTACTGTCATTTGCCAACCTACATTATTTCCCGTTTTCCCCATTAGAGTTCCTATACCAGGTTATTATCACTCACTTCATAGCTTGAGCATCCTGCACCACACAACTGTCAATGTCCGCAAACTGATTATGCTTCCAAGGGTACGTCTTCTAAAGCCAGTAAGCAAGACCCCCTCAACCTTTTCTCCATGAAAAGAATACCGGTGTTTGATTGTAGGTGTCTGTGTTCTATCTCATTAGTAAAGTAGTATAATATGGCAATTGCTGTTGAGGTTACGCATACATTTTTATGTGGGGAGGGTAAGTTAGTCTTCAAGGTAGGGAAGATGAATAGGTTGAGATGGCTAGAACACGTGATGGTATACCAAGCCATCGCCTTCCTTGAGGGATAATGTTAGCCAGCACATGTTAAGGTTCCAAATGTGTTTGGGTCGGCCAAATGAAAAGCTGGTATTGGTTCATAAAATCGTTGACAGTCAGCTAGAAGAACTACTAGATATATGCCTGCAAGTCTTTGTTTATGGCACAGGTGCATTCACTCTGTGTAATCTCACGTATCTATTCAACTCATGTTGTCACTATTTATTTTCCCTCAAATTTTCGCTCGTTAAACTTCCATTTAGTTTTATGTCTCTACCTTTGTGTGTTGCATGGAATGTGGTAAACTAAACAGTTAGACTTCTTTGCGAAGTCATACTGAAAGCCAGGCAGAATGACACAGGCTAGGTATAACTAGATGCGAAACACTGAATAATGATCTCCAGAATGTCAACAAATGATAACTGCAGTTCCTAATCTTGTTCTTTGCTAAATGACAAATAGATACCTTTCAGTAATCTCTTCTTCCACTCGGGATTCGTCTCCTACTTTGCAAGTGTTTTTTGTGCCATATCACTTTTGTGCTAAGCTGCAGGTACAAGTTGAATTGGTATAATCCACTTGGTGCAGGTATATGCCGTCATTTGTGATAGCCATATCGTCAGTATAAACCTCTATGCTCATCCGACGATTACGGCTGTAGTCCTTGGCAATTAACTTAGCGGTATAAGGAGTGAAGCTTCCTAATATCGGCATAACTGGTTCTGGTGCGTGTTACTTATGAATCCGACAACTTTCGACGATGACTTCAACACTCCGACGCTTCTCTGTGCGTACACACCATTTAAACGTCTTGTACATACATACGTGTAGGGGATCTCTTCTGTGGAGATATCGTTTTAGGTGACTGTGAGAGCTTTCAACTCTATTGTTGGTACTATTAAACAGCAACAGAGTATTCGGCATATATGCCGCAGCCCACGTTTCCTCCTTAGGCATCCAGTAATGCCTGACGTAATTCCATGCCCTCCGATCAACCGTCCTAATGACACTAAGGTAGTGATGAAATCTAAATGGTTAGAAAACAATGCATTTACCTTTCAGGTGTCGCAGCTTTAATAAGACCATATAAAAACCTGCGTACAAAAGGATTTCGAGTCTAAATGCATCAAGTATTAATTAAATTCACCTCACCTTCCCGCTAAAAGCCCGAGATACATGAAATGCACAGATGACGATTTTCGCCTGAATGCGACTATTACGCACGGCGGATATCTCACAGTTGGCCGAATCCACTACGAAAGT